ATCATCGTCATCGCCGCCCTGGTCAACGAGGGAGTCTGGCTTCTGAGACGGCACACTCATGCTGGCGAAGGGGTTCCTGGACGCCGCAGCTGCACGACGTGGCTGCTCAGCAGGCTGCGCCTCCTCCATAAGCCCGTCGCTCTCCGCCTTCCAATGCAGCGCATCACCCAACTCAGCACCATCCGCCGGCACGGGCTCCAACCGCGACTTTTCCTCAAGTAATTTCTCATAATATTCCCCCTGTTCCTCAAGCTTCTGCTGAAGCAGCTCATCGTGCTCTGCAATGCGTTCGTTCGCCTCGAGAAGCGCCGCCTCGAGCTCCTCCTGCAGCTTGGCGTGCGTCTGCTTCATCTCGGCCTCCACACGCTGTAGGGCTGCCTCTGCCGCCTCGCGACCCCGCTCCGCATCGGCACATTGCTGCAAGAGATGGGCATTTTCTTCTTCCAGCTGTTGTGAATGTGAAATTTTGTTGCATGTGTTGTGGTTATATTGTAGATCTCTCAGTTGTTGTTCAAGGTACTTTACTGTATCTGCTTCAAGACTTTGACGTTCTTTACTGTGTATTAGCTCGTGCTCCATCATGCTAAGCTTTTGTGTGAGGGCGGTCACCTCATTCTGCAGTGCCTCCTTGTTTTCTATGAGTATCCTGTTTTCTTCTTCAAGGTTGCTGCACTTGATGATCGCCTCTTTATGCTTTAACTGCCACTCTCGTATTTCACTATCTTTGCACGCTAGTAGGGATTCCGCTCGGACAAGCGCATCAGATGTTTCCAGGTGGGAGTGACTTATGTGACCTTGTGCATGCATATGCGGAGCGTTTGCGTCCTCTTGAATCGCGCCAAGGCCTTTGTCAGCATCCGTGCGCCCGTCTGAGTCGCCTGATGGATGCGGCTTGCTTATGGCCTCCAGAGAGAGACTGGGCGTTTGCGAGCCACGCTGGGCAAGCTTCGTTGTAAGTTGGTTCAACGCTTCCTGCTGCTGCTCGATTGTCTCGTGCGGCAGGAGGCTTTCCTGCGTTAGTGTCTCGATCTGCAGGATGTCACTTAAGTGCTGCTTGCAAACAGAATCAAGGAGTGAGTGGTCAATAATGGAAGATGTGGTGCCATGTGAGTTTGAGTCGTTCTTGCTCTCCGCACAATCCTCCGAGACCAGCTCCGTCGGGTGCTGCACCATGTACGAAAGACTACATGTTCCTTCGGGCAACACACGTGCTTCATTTACAGCATAATGACGTTGGTCAGCCGGCGCGCTTGCATCACGACCTGCGCCTTTCCCCGTTTTGCTCTCCTCTGCCACGCGCAACCACTCTTGAAAAAGCAAACGGCCGCGCTGCCGCAGCCTGGCAGTTTCCTCTGTGCTACGGTTGACGTCGTTCAGGCGGTAGAACTCCAGCAGGGCCTGCGCTCGCTCCAGGCGCAGCTTCCGCAGTCCTTCATCCATCACTGTCTACTTCCGCCGCAAAGCAGCTGGAGACGCCCACACACGCCGACAAAACGAATCACGTGGACAGCTCCGCCGATACTGTCTGCCGTGTCGTCAGGGATAGGGAAGAAGCAAACGCTAAAACAACAAGAGCGCAAGCAGACCTCCTTTTTTTTTCTCTCACGGATCCTAACTCTGCAAAAATGCACAAATTTCTCTCGTAAAATTGAATACACACGTAAGTTAGGAGATGCACACAATTAGATAGTTTAAGTGGAGGAGAAAAAACAGGATGTGGCAAAGAAGAAAGAAGTGTGCGGAGAGTGGCACACATACACACACACACACACACAGAGACAGAGACAGAGACAGAGAGAGAGACAGAGAGAGAGACAGAGAGAGAGAAAGGAAAAAAAAGACGGACAATTGGAAGTCAAAAGGAATCCGCATACCGCAAATCTCTAGAAA